TCACCCAAGACCTTTCTCAACTTCACCCCCACGTCCCGAATTCGGTCGTCATCAGTTACCACCATCTTCAACACCGAGCAACAACACCAACCAGCCCCAACCATCACCACCTCTCGACAAGGCAGCGTCATCATCAATTCCCAAGCTTCTAGTCTCAAGATCCCCACCAAGAGCATCTTCACAACCAACTATGCCGACAAACGTTTCAGCTTCACCGCCACGAGTCACCATACCTAATCCTCAAGTCAACATCGATAATCAAGATATTTCCACGCCAGGAGAAGAACAAGCAGCCGTGCCGCCGTCGCAGCCGATGTCGCAGCCGTTGTCTCAGCCGCAAATGACCGCATCAACGCAATCAAACACTGGGAGACCGAACCCTACCACTAATGTGTCTCAGCCAAGTGAGGAGTTTGGTAAAGGTAAACGAGTCCGCAAGGTAAAAAAGCCCTTCACTTTCATGGTTGACATGTCATCAAGGTGCACATGTGAGGAGAGTGAGAATTGTATTCACAAGAAGGTAGAGGCAATATGCATGGCAGCATCACACCTTCCGCGAGAGCCCTTGAGTCATCGTGAGGCAATGGCAAGTCCCGAGAGAGAGCATTGGTTGAAAGCCGAGGAAGAAGAGATTGAGAGTCTCATGAAGCGAGGTACATGGCGTCTTGTTGAGCCACCTCCAGGGAAGAAGGTAATTGGTGTCAAATGGGTGTACAAGATCAAGGTAAAAGGTGATGGTAGCCTCGATAGGTACAAGGCAAGGTTAGTGGCAAAAGATTATTCCCAAATTCCAGGTCTTGACTTCACCGAAACCTTTGCCGCGGTAGCAAAGTACACCACGGTACGAGTCCTCCTCGCCATAGCCGCATATCTTGGTCTCCATATCCATCAAATGGATGTCAAGAACGCATTTCTCTACGGTGTCTTGGAAGAAGAGGTATACATGGCACAACCCGAAGGTTATGATGACGGTACGGGTCGAGTGTGTCGCTTGGTAAAGTCCCTTTATGGTCTCAAACAGTCCCCACGGGTTTGGCATCATGCTCTTGAGCAGGTACTTTTCAAGCATGGTTTCACAAGGTCCATGAGAGACAACGCTCTGTACTTCATGCACACGAGTGAGGGGGAGTACATTTGGCTCTTGGTATATGTCGATGACCTCCTCCTAGTCTCAGGTTCTCTTGATCTTCTCAACAAGGTGAAAGGTATTCTCACAAGTGCATTCACGATGACCGATCTTGGTAAGCCGAGTCATTATCTTGGTATGAACATTGTGAGAGATCGTAAGTCACGGTCCATCTTCCTATTCCAGCAAAGGTACATCCAAAAGGTCCTTGAGAGGTTTGGTCTTGATGATAGCAAGCCATCACCTACCCCACTTCCTTCCAACTTTGTCCCTTTGTCTTCACATCAGCCCTATGAAGAGAGAGAGTCAAACCTTGATATCATAGGTATTAAGGAGTTGTGTCTTGAGGAGAGTGAGCATCATGGTGAGAATTCACTTAAGGTATCCCCACAAGACCTAGCTCTCTACCAAAGTCAGGTTGGGTGTCTCATGTATGCAGCCCTATGCACAAGGCCCGACTTAGCATTCACGGTATCTAAGCTAGCTCAACACATGAGTGCCCCTTCACCTATTCATATGCATACAGCCAAGCGAGCTCTTCGGTATCTCAAAGGTACTTCTAATCATGGTCTTCTCTTCCAAGCCAGCCCATATGCAAGCTCCCTCCAAGGCTTTACCGATGCAGATTGGGCGGGAGAATTGAGCACACGCAAGTCTACTGGCGGCTACATCTTCCTCATGTGTGGTGCCGGTGTTTCTTGGCAATCGTGCAAGTAAAGTTGTGTGGCACTTTCAACAACCGAATCTGAGTACATGGCAGTGACCGAAGGAGCAAGGGAGGCAATCTGGTTACGTGGACTCTTGGAGGACTTGAGGCAGCCGCAAACTCAACCAACTCCGCTCTACGTGGACAACACTTCAGCCATAGCTCTTTCCAAGAACCCGGTTCATCATGGGCGTACAAAACACATCGAGGTGCAATACCACTTCATTCGTGAGCAACTAGAGAAGGGATTTCTCGCCGTCAACTTTTGCCGTTCATTCGATCAAGCAGCAGATTTCATGACCAAGGTTCTTCCACATGATGCATTCAACATGTGCAAGGCAAGAGCAGGCCTCATGACACTTCATGAAGCAGTGGAGCAATTTGAGGAGAATGAGGAGTGTGAGGGGAAGAGACGTGGGCAGCAGCATGAAGTGTATGCTAAGGAGATGTGAAAGGAGCATCAGCATGGGTGTATGTGTGCTTCGGGTCTGGTGCGAGGGGGAGTGTTGGAGAATCGAGTTTCTGCCGCCCCAGCCCTTTGCACACAAGCAGCAGCAAGGGGGAATGTCGGCGATGAATCAGAGGCTTCGGGAAGTACTTCGAAAGTTCCACCACCAATCAGATTTCAGCCGAAGACTCGATACAGTTCAAAGCTGCCTTCAAACCGAAGTGTTGGCAGTTTCTACAGGTTTCTACACATCAGAATCAGCTATAACAGAAATATCCAGAGTTTTCTTGTTCATGCACCTCATGTGGCACTCAAAGTCACTCAAGGTCCATCCAATCTAGATTGTGCCCAGGTTACCAGGGAAGTTACATTGTCTATCAACCTAGTTTGAGCTTTCAATCTGTCTTGTTTGTGATGCCTATAGAGTTGTGCTTTAGTGGGCTTGTTAATCTTGAACATAGTGAAGTTTTACCTCATCCAGTCAATTCCAGCAGCCCTGCTAAGACTTTCCAGCCAAGTTTCCAGCCCTCCAGTAGTCACAGCTACTCTGTTTTACAAGTGGAAGGACACGGAGGTGCTGGGGATTGGGGTGTGTGGAAGGAGGGCGTGTTCGATATGCAACGGAAGGCAACCGAAATGTGACCGAAGGAACACTTTGGAGACTTTGCATGCCCCGCCGCAAGGCTTCGCTGGGATTCAATTTCAGGTAACCAGCCGATGCATCCCTGGTCAATTCTTGGCTCGTTGACAACAGCAGTTTCCTGTAACCCTGTGCGGAAATGTCGTCGTCGCTCGTGAAGGGAACCCGTCCGATCGCACAAAATACTGAAATAGATAGGGTTCGATCTCCACTCGAGTGCATCCCAGGAATTGCGATCTCACATCCCCGTCCTAGTCAAATGGCCGAGCACCTTGTTCCACCATTTCTAGCTTCTGGCGCAGCAGAAACTTGTCGCTGCCTCTCTGTAGAATTCCCAAGTGACGGGAGTTATTTTAGGCGTAAATCAGGAGCAAGAGTAATAGCGACATCGCTGTTTTACATTGTCAAAAAAACACATGTCATTTGTCGGCTTCTGTAGTAGCGCATCAGTTACACGCTGCGACTACTACTTTTAGCGGCCTGGAAGTCACCGCGGCGATAACCCTCAAGCAGCGTGAACCGATGTCGAGCACAGTTTCTCGCAGGCAGCGTGGGGCTCTTTTTCCGCCACGCAGCGATGCTTCGGGCCGCGCACAGCTTCTCGCAGGCAGCAGCAGATTCGCTCGCGAATCCCAAACCCCGATTTGTGCTCACACGCCTCAATCTCTCTCCTTCTGCTTCTCATCCTCGACGGTGCCGTGAGTCAGTGCTGCCGCCGCGGCGAGTGACAATCCATCTTGCTGCGGTTGGGATCGATCCCGCCGAACGGAATCCGCACTGTCACCCCGTGCCGTTCCTGCCGGTGCCATTTCCTTCTCTCCAACCGAACGTCATCAGTCGTAGCCTTCTCTTAGCGCCCGCCGTTGCCTGTTGAGCCGAATCGCCGTTCGCCGCGTGGGTCAAATGATGAGGTGCTAACGATCGACTGCATGCACAGGCGGCTCGGCCCAATCGGAGATGCTGTTTCGGACTTCTCTTTCAGGCGTCTTCCCTCTAAGGCGACGGCAGGTTATGGGTCCATGCGGTGAAAAATCTCAGGGTCGATGAATGAGAGAGTTACAAGGACGCGGCAACGCTGATGGTACGCTGCAGCCTCCCGTGTTTCGCTATTCCCGCATGGCGTCACAACAGCAAGCCGTTTTGTTGCCAGTGTGGTCTATCACTGACGTGAAAGGTGGGCTTTATGGGTAATGACTTGACGACACGTGAACACAGGACTAGAAATTCGCGTAGGAAGAAGCGGACACATGCTCTGGGTGGATACGCCGGTTCTTGCATGGTGCCACCTGGCAAGACCTGTTAATGCGTCATAGCTGCCATGCCTTTCACGTGTTAACAGGCCTGCCTGCTCTCACCTTGCCCTGCCATTCTCTCTCACATCCTGCCATGCCCCCACTGTCTCCTCGTGCGGCCGGCCTGCTCGCACCTTCTGCATGGGTTAGCGGTGGGCCCATTAATAAGAAATTGTCCGCAGGAACGAACAGCTCTGATAGCATAACAAGATTAAGAAGCTACCTAGGCCAGGAGAAAGCCTAGCCAAGGAGCATAGGTGAGGTAGAACGGGAGTAGTGAGAGCAAATGCAAGGCAAGAAAGTGATGCACTAATGAGAATTGTGAGTACAAATAGCAAACAGCAACACAAGGAGGTGCACCACCAAACATGATGCACTATCTACACTACACTGCAAACTATTATATAAAATATGTAAACATATTTTGACAGTATATTCGTTGGCAAAAGTTCAGGCTGACCCGAAAAAAAAAACCAGATTTCAATAGTCGCGCACGAATTGCGAATGTGCGACGCGACTCAAAATGTACGCACGTCCCACCCCAATTTGTACGCACGTCCCAACCACATTGTCACCCACACCTGTCAAAATGTGGGGACGTGGGAAAATTTGAACCGCACTGCACCCTATGCTATCGCGCGACGCGACTCCAACACACAAACACGAATGTCGTCAACCAGCGTAGGTGGTTCAACCACATCCTGGACTATAAGGTAAGCTCTCATTCCCATCATCTGTATTATCTCTCTCGTTCATTCTCTCTCAACACTCCAGCTCACCTGCACTTGATGTCGGCTCCTTCTGGTACTCCCGCAAGTGCCACTAGTGAGGCTCCTAGTGTTTCGAATGACGCGACCATGGCGGACGACGAGGATGTTCCTGTGAACACCCATGTTATTTTTAAGCATTTCCTTACCTCTACCGAAGGTACCTCGAATGGTCCTGAGCGTACTCTCCGCATATGCCGGCACTGCAAGCTTAAGTTCGTAGGGGGCGCCTTCCGTTGCGCGCAACACATCACGCGCTGGAAAGGGCTGAAACGGAAGGACGTCCGTCTTTGCAAGGCGCCTATCCCTTCTGCTGACCGCGGCGCCGTCCGCGAATTGTACGAAGGCAAACACGCCCGCAGGGAAGGGAAGAAGAAGGCGGAGGAGATGGCGATCGAGGCGTGTGCGGGTGGAGCGAAGAAGCAGTGCATCGAAGACTTCTACGGGGAAGGGGCATCGTGTGCGAAGGAATCGGCAGACGACGCCATCTGCCTCATGTGGGCGGCACTTCACCTCCCGGAGCATCTCGCCGATCACCCTCTCTGGCGCAACGCTGTGGGCTGCATCACAGACGCGGGCCATGGCTACGTTCTCCCGAAGCGGCGGTATGTTGGTGGCGCCGACCTTGTGCGCTGCCGCGAAAAGATCGAGAGGGGGCTCGCTCCCATCACTGTGAGCTAGAAGCGGGATGGCGTGACGATAGGCTCGGACATGATGACGGACAAAAGTGGCCGTCCCCAAGCCAACATCCTACTCATCAACGATTCCGGTGCTGTGTTCACCGAAAGCATCGACTGTAAGTTGGAGACGAAGACGGGAGGCTACATTGCATCCGTTTTGCGCCCGATCATTGAGAAGGTGGGGCCCGCCAACATAGTTGCGTTATGCATGGATGGGGGCAGCAATTATGCGGCTGCATGTAGGGAACTCATGCTTGAGTATCCTCACATTGAGCATGTGCCGTGCGCTACTCACGTCATGGATCTGCTCATGGAGGACATTGGGAAAATGGATTGGGCGAAGGACATTGTGGCTAAGGCGGGGGTGATTATTACCTTTGTACGTGCCCACCATTTCACCAAAGGCTACATGCGAAGCCCGCAAGTGAAGGGAGGGAAGGGGAAGCAGGTGCTGAAGCCGGCGGGCACCAGATTTGGCACGCAATTCATCGCGGTGCAGCGGCTTTGCGAGGTGCGGAGTGCATTGACGCAGATGGTGCTGAGCCCGGAGTGGCAGGCTTGGGCGAAGGGGAGGAAGCCTCCGGTCGAGCCCTTCGCAACCATGATCATGGATGCCGTGTGGTGGAAAGGTGCGGGGTTCTTCGTCGCCCTCCTGAAGATCCCCTTTGTCGTCATGCGCAAGACCGACTCGACGGCCAAGGGCATGATGGGCAGGATGTACGATCTGATGCTGCAGCTCACGGAAGACATCAATGCGAAGCTGGAGGAGGAGGAGGCGGGATTGGTGCTGTCCAGCAGTGAACGCACGGAGGTGACCAACATCGTCCAAAAGCGCTGGGACCATAGCATGGCGTGTGCCATGCACGTGGTTGGCCGGATCCTCAACCCGGTCAACCAAGAGGAAGGCATCTTCCGCACCGACCTGGAGTGTACTCGCATCTTCAAAGCGTTTGTCGCTCGTCACTACGCATGGCGGACCGTCACGCGCAAGGATGGCGAGGAGCTGCGCGCATCCCACGTCATCCAGGACGGCCTGGCGGCATTCAACACCCTTCAGGGGAGCTTCGGCCTACCCGACGCCATCTCTGACCGTGAGCTCGTGAAGGCCGGTAAGAAGACGGTCGTCCAGTGGTGGACGTGGCACGGGACGGAGCACCCCGAGCTGACAACGCTCGCTTCCCGCGTTCTCTCTCAGCCAGTGTCCGCATCGGCGTGTGAGAGGAACTGGGCAGTGTGGGAATCGATCCACACTGCCAAGCGCAACAGGTTGGGGTCTGAGAAGTGTCGGGACCTCGTGTATGTTGCGCACAATTGGAACATTGTGCGCAACTGGCACAAGGGGGCTGAGTGGGTGACGGTTCTCCCGGGGAACATCCCTGAGGCCTCCCTGCGGGAAGGGTACAACGAGGTTATGGAGGAGGATGAGGAGGAGGGGGAGGAGGATGAGCTGGAGGATGAGTACAAGTAGAGGAGGAAGGAAGGGACGAGGGGAGTAGAGGGTGGGAGTAGGGGGTGGGGTAGGAGAGATGCATGTTGCTTGCTTAGAGTATTTGAGAATGGTGGGTTTTTTCAATATATGAAATTCGGTAAAACCACCACTCCCCCCCCCTTCCTTCGGCGGTTTTTTTCGTCTGCCCGGTAAAAACCTTTTGCTGCCCAGGCAGCGTACTTTCTGCGACTTTCAAAGTCACTCACGAAGCGCATAACGCACTATACGCAAGCGTATATACGCTTGCGTATAGTGCGCTGGGCGCGACTTTTCCAACATAGGGGGGGGGGGGGAAGAGGAGGGGAGAGAGGGGGGGGGAGAGGGGAGATGGGATGCGGATGGGGGCAGTAGTGACGGGCGGCTGTGCGGAGGGGGATGGGGAGGCGGATTGGCGAGGGGAGGCTCAGGGGGGAGGGGGGGATACTAGCGCGAGTGGTTTGGGTTTGGTGGAAACGAGGCTAGGTGTGGGACGATGCGGGGTACGGGGGGGTGAGACAGGCGGTGCAAGGTGAAAGAGAAGTTATGGTGAGAAAGGGAATGGGCATGTGAGCGGGGTGGTAGGGGCGTGAGCGTGCTGGTGATGGTGACTTGTGCATATGTGTGTGGTGTTGGCACCGAATGTGAGGGCCTTGCCCCCCACATGGCACGAGTGCATGGGGATGGGAGGGCCAAGTGTGTGGTGCTGACACCGAATGTGGTGAGGGAAAATGGGGGAAAGGGAGGTTAGGGAGTGCGATGGAGAATAATGCACGAGTGCACAGTGGGAGGGCCAAGTGTGTGGTGCTGCCGCCTAATGTGGAGGAGTGCCTGGGGGAGGTGCCTGGGGCAGGTGCGAAAGAGGAGGGGAGGGAAAACGGTTGTAAGAGTGCAAATGTGTGCGGTGCTGGCAGCTTGCGTGAGAGAGTTGCCTTGGACAGGTGAGGGGAGGAGGAGTGGGGATGATCGTGCAAGACACTATATCTTACATTTTTATTTTAAGAATTATCACACGTGCAGCATTCATCATTAAACCACCTCTATCCATTCCCGCTCCGCCCTGGCACCAGTTGGCCATGATGCTGCCTCACATCACATCCATCCTAGTAAATGCCATCGCACGAAGCATTCCCGCTTCCCAGGTGTCCCTATCCAACTACCTGGCCCACCCCCCCGTCTCCCCACTACAACACTGCACATAGCATTCCCAGCTCAAACCACCCCCACCCTACCCACCCACCCCTTCCCACTGTCTCCCAGGCGGTCTTGATGTGGCCCACTGATCCATCCTACCAGACGCCTCTGCATGCAGCGTATACAGTTTAGGGTTTAGACTTTCAGGTCTAGGGTTCACCCCTATCCAACCACCCCCACCACCACCCGCCTCACCACCTCCACTCGACCCTGTCCCCCAGGTGGCCTTGACGCAACCCTCTCAAGGCCTTGACGCAACCCTCTCAAGGCCCTCATGCAATCTTATCAGACGCTGCCGCACGCAGCACTCCGATGCTCATGGCTCTCTCCCGACGCCGCCTCGCCAAGGTGAATAGAGGCCGAGGTGGGCTGTTTATGCTATCCCAGAAGCGCATGTTTGAGAGGTATTGCTCCTGGGTAGCAAGGTGAGTGCAGGCTGAGTGAGGTGTGTCAAGGCTGATAAGGAGGCTGAGTGGGGTGTTAGTGCTATCAACCCACACATGGACACAGTAAGGGTAGGGAATTTGGGAGTGCATTGCATGCGTGGGAGGTAATGAGCACATCATTCCCGTGCTCGTCGCTCTCTCCTAGGTTTTCCTGGTCCAAGGTGAGTAAAGGTGGGGTGGTGGTTCTAACCAAGAAGTTGTTGTAGTTTCATGCTAAACAATACCATGGTAATGCGCGCAGCATTCCCGCGAGTGCCGGCTACCGCAGCCAAGAAAGCGTCATTGATAGCTTGAGAACATGCCTTAGCGAGAGGTACCTTGAATTGTAAGGAGCTGGTTGCAGGGATTACCCAACGATCACTGCGGGGACCACCAAAACGTTGCATTGTGCCTGCCGGGAATCGAACCCGGGTCTGCACCGTGCTGACATGGCAGGGTGCTATTCTACCACTAGACCACTGGCACCAATTTAAACAGGACCAAACAGACACCAACATATGTTATTTAAGTACTAACTACCGCAGCCAGGGTGCCCCAAGGTACCCAAGAAGCCAAGTGACCAAGTGACTTCCCTTCTCTCCCTACTCTACTTGGCCTCCAAGCCAAAATAGTTCTCCGCGAAGAAAGCACACCGTGTGACATGCTGCCAAGGTGGGTGCGGGCTACCATAACCAAGGGGCCCAAGGTGGCTGTGACCAGGTGACCAAGTGACCAGGTGAGGTCACTGCTTTCCCTGTTTCCTCTCTGGTTATCAATCGTGCTGCCCTCACTAGCTCACCTCTTTCCCAGCTGAGCTTCATTTTGCTGCGCTGCCGCATTGCCCTCACTGTCTCCCCACCTCTGCTCCTTGCAAATTCAAAAGTGATTCCAAGTCACCTCTTATCTTCTCCTCTGGAAATATCTGAGGTCACCAACTCCGGTAACTGTAGATGCGGACCTCCCCTTCCTCTTTGTTAGTGTTGATTTGCCTGTGCTACCACATGGCCCTCACCTCACCCTCTCCTCATCCCTTGTCCTTGCATAACTCCGTGTCTCCTCCCGTTCTTTTGTGTCCTGGCAGGCATGCATCGAGCTGACCACGCTCTTGCATGAGTGCCATGGGGGTGGAGGGGCAGGAAGTGCAGGAGGAAGTAGGTGTGTGATTATTGCGAGTGTATCGCCCTCACTCACACATTGTTGGGGCGTGCAGGCTGCTCTAGAGAATTCTGGCTGATGCAGAGCGTTGGAAGGCAGCTGTGGGCAGGAGGGGAAGGAAGGGGAGGTGGGGTTGGAAGCAGTCGGCGCATGCACTGGCAGATTGTTGGGCACACAGGCTGCTCAAGAGCGTTCAGGTGGAGGCAGAGCGGTTGGCAGTTGGTGCTTGAGTCGTGGGGCAGGAGGAAATAAAGAAGCAAATTGATGCTTAGGAAGGGACGTGCTGTGAGCTGTGCTTGCATTGCTCGCACCTGCAGGTGCGTTTTGACAGAGGCAGTTATGGCAGGAAGGGGAGGCGGAGCAGAGGGGGGGGGAGCAGTTTCAGGCGGGGTAGGTGGAGCGCTCTTAATGGTGCGCGCCGTTACAGGCGTCTCAGAAATCGTCTGCAGATGCTCAATGTAGAGTGATGCGGTGCAGTGCGGAGTTGATGGTGTGCTTGCTGAGGCATAGGGGTTTGTGGAGGCAGATGGATGGGGGAATGATGGTGAAATGGATGGCAACTGAGAGGGGCAGGTGGATGGGGAATGATGGGAGCAGACAAAGGCAGTTAGGTGGGCAGAGAGGAGCAGATGGATGGGGATAGGGAGGAGCAGATGGATGGGGGCAGAGAGGAGCAGATGGATCGGGGCAGAGAGGAGCAGATGGATGGGGGCAGAGAGGAGCAGGCCTGGGCGAGGGGAATGCGGACAAAGCATGAAGCAGACAGGGCTGGCGGAAGGGTGAGAGAGGGAAGGGGGGTAGACAGCAGACAGGAACTCTGCTCGCGGCCACATGCGTTCACCTACTCCCATTCCTCCAGGCAAGGCCCAGCCAACCCCCCCTCCGTCAACCAGGGAGGTGGGTGCATGTGGACCATACCACTCTGAATCAAGCCAGGTGGATTTGAGAATGTTTAGAAACCACTTGCGAGAGGGGTTTTGGGGAAGCTGGGGGGAAACCGACGACCGCTTTGGACCCTTTCTGATGCTGGGATGCAAGCAGTTGGTACTGCTGTGCAGTGAACTCACTCCCATTGCTGCCATGCTCCCACCACCATCACAATCCCACCATCTCATTCCCACCACCATCTCACTCCCACCACCACCTCTGCTATTAAGGAAAGGAAGCCTGCTCGGGCAGCAAGAGTCAGGCAGCCAGGCTGCAGCTACGACTTGCTACAATCAAGTGCCGAGTTGTATGACTTTCTAGCTATTGCTTGAACGCCTCGTTTGATGGAGAATATATAAAGCCGCGGTGCACTGTGCCACCCAAGTCTCCAATTGGCTAGCGAGAGAGTGAGTGGTGTTGAGATGAAGAGAAAGGAAATGGACTCCCCTCATCATGCGGTGCTGTTTGGCACTTTGCCCCACACGTTTCCCTGCACCAAACCTTTCGCTTTGGCAGTCAACCCGGCTACATTTTGAAGTTAGAAACTTTTGAACCGAAGTGACGATATCTGTTCCGCAGCTTTAACTCGATGCAGGCAGTTTGGGTTGTGTCTGCCCCTTCGTTTATAAAATGTTAGAAACGTATGCGTAAGTGACACAATTCCACTGCAATGGCTAGCGCATGAATTTAAACCCCTGATTGTTAAAATTGACATTGAGCTTGAAGCATTTGCGGAAAACTCAATTGGGGCTGTTAGAAAAAAATACCAAGTGATTTATTAATTTCGTTGGGCGTTGTATAATGAGGTATAGAATTTTACTGTAGGCTTACTTTGGCTTGTATGCGCCGACAAGTTCGCTTCAACCGGTTCGGCCTACAAACGCATCCCGAACCACTTACGTTTTGCCACCGCACCTTTCGGCAGCCTTCCAAGCCTAGCCTAACCCCAAGTCCTCGCCTAGCTCGGGTCTGCCTATTTTATCCTCGTTTTAGACATTCGTGGGACATTCAGTTGTAGTTTTCTAGATTGTAGAACCCTGCGGTCAACAATTTGTTGCACAACCTAGATTTCCTATCGCAGACATTTAGCTAGCATGGGGCTGCGTGCTCGATTTTGTAGGAATTCACAGCACCTGCGTTCAGTATCAGGACGTAAGGATCTGGGAAGGCAATAGTGGGGCGTCATTTGACACCCCACTGCGACGAGAGAGCGAGGGACGGTAATTCGATAGCCGTCGCGTCGAAGCGACAGACGGGGCAACGAGAGCGAGAAGAGGCGATTCGCGATGGCGGAGAACCGCAACAGCAGAGGCGCAAGGAGCAGCAACAATGGCGGGTGGGCAAACAGGAGGCGCAAGCCTGACAATTGTTGAGAGACATCATACAGTGGCGATACTACATTGTCAATCGAAGGTGGTGGCGCAAACGCTACTGCGTCAGAGCGACAGACAAGAGATGACACAGCGCGACGTGCGGCGATGAGAGAGCGACGGACTGCGACGCGAGTGACGGATAGCGACAATTGAGCGACTGTCCACGGCGATAAAGTGACAAAAAAACAATTTGCGATAGCGGAGAGCTGCGGCAGCATATGCGCGGGGAGCAGCAGCAATGGCGGTTGGGGCAAGCATGCGCGCGCAGGCGGGGCTCCCAGCGGCGGAAGCGGCAGACGCAGCATGTGTCGCTGTGAGAAGCACGGGCCGGAGTGGCGGCGGCGGCGGCGGCGGTGGCAGCGGCGCGAAGAGGGAGCGCGCGCCCCTACCGCCGCCTCCAAGGGAGCGCCAGTGGGTGGGGAGCGCAGATGGGGGTAGCAGTGACGGGCGACCGCGCGGGGGTGGAAGGGAGGCGGAGCGGGGAGGTGAGGTGCATGGAGGGGAGGGGAAAAGGGGGATGTGGGCGCGTGTGGTTTGAGTTTGGCAGACGCGAGGCGAGGGGCGGGAGGAGGAGGAACAGGGGGCGGAGCAGGAGAGAAGAGGAGGGGAGAAGAGGCAGGCGGAGAGGTGGGAAAGGCGGGAGAGAGAGGGAACGGGGGAGATCATGCGCCAGAGGCAAGAGGGGGGGCGGGGGGGGGGGGGGGGGGGGGGGGGGGGGGTTGCGCTGGGGCTCACGTGGAAGCCAACCGGGAAGGGCGAGTGCGCGAGAACCCTGTTACCCAGGGGCGTGGGAGAGCATGGCGTGAGGCGGGAAAAGGAGAGTCAGACACCGAAGCAGAAGCGAGTGAGGCGCTTGACACGCATGGTGGTGCTGGCGAGACATGCACAGGGTGAGGTGGGGGTGGAGGAAGGGGAGCGGAGTTATAGGGAGGGGGGGAATCAGGAGACGTGAGATGGGGATGGAACCTGAGAGGAGGTGAGGAACCTGGAGGGGTTGGGGAAGGGAGAAGGGGAGGGGGAGGGGGAGGAGGAGGAGGAAGAGGAGGAGGAGGAAGAAGAAGAGGGGGAGGAAAACAGACGCGCGGTGGTACGGAGTGGTGGGAGGCTTGGGCTTGATGAAACCCATGGCGATGGTTTGAGGCATGGGGAGAATGGGAGCGATGGCAATGGTGGGAGGTATGCAGGAGGCACGGGATGGGTGGAAAGAGACGTGACGGGGCGTGTACTGCCACAGTGGTGGCGGGAGGGGAGGTGGGGGAAAGGTTAGGGGAAGGTGGGATGGAGGGCAGGGGGGAGGAGAGAAGGGCGTGGGTAGAGGATGAAGCATGCGGGAAGAGGTGCAGAAGTGGGGGCAGAGCGTGGACGGGACAGTGGGTGATAGATAGGAGGTGGATGGAAAGCAGTAGGTAGGCGAGGGCAAGGGTGGAGAGAGAGAGGAGAGACGGGAAGAGAGACGGGAGAAGGGAAGGGATAAGGGAAGGAGCAAGAGATGACGAGGGCTGAGAGGAGCAAAGGTGGTGAGGAGGGGAGGGGGGGAGATGCAGTAGGTGAGGAGAAGGAAGAGGTGGGGAAGAAGGAAGAGGGGTGGGAGGAGAAGGACGGGGAGGTGAAGGGAGGAGACGAATGTGGCAAGCTCAGCCCACCACTTACATGGGCGTGGAGGCATGCAGCACGTGAGGGGCACATGGCATGGCAGCACAGCACACATGCCATGCGTGCAGGTGGCTTCTCATCTGACGGTAGGCAGTTCTGTGATGTGCCAAGGCAGAGGTGAGTGAAGCTGAGTATGGTGAGAAATCTGAAGATATATCTCTGAAAAAGAAGCACCTTTTAGTCCATCCTTGCCGTCTCCCGCTAACCGGCCCCAACTAGATGTCTGCTCAATGGGTTTGTGGCTCCTGTCTCTCTTTTTTTTCAACGCCTCCGAAGAAAGCGGGTTCTTGGTCATCCTTGCTGCCTAGTTACCCTCTATTCAGGTCCGTTTATTTTTCTTGTTCCCCTTCCTTACTCCATAACCTTCCTCATCCAATCCCTTTCCTCTCTCCATCCCCCTTCTCTGTGGTTCCCTTGCGCCTTCCCCCGTTCCCTCCACTATTTCCTCGCGCTGTCCTCCATCCTCTCTATACTGTTCTCGTCATAGTGTGTAGCCCATCGTTGCACAGGGCACTGCGCCTCGTGTCGGGATGCAAGTATTAGTCCCATAAGTTGAGGCGCGTCAAAACTTTTCCCCAGTTTTATGGGTTCTGTACTGCGAAGGACTCACTCCAGCACCGTCTCACTCACCCAGCCCTCTGACTCCCACCACCATCTTGCTTCCACCACCACCATCTCACCCCCCTGCACCATCTCACTCCCACCACCATCTCACTCCCACCACCATCTCACCCCCCTGCACCATCTCACTCCCACCACCATCTCACTCCCACCACCATCTCACTCCCACCACCATCTAACCCCCACCACACACCCACCACCTTCTCACTCCCACCATCTCACTACCACCACCGTCTCACTCCAGGCAGCCAGGCCGCGGGTAAGGCGTACTGCAGTCAAGTGCTCAATGGTGGTGGAAGTTTGGGTTGTGCACCTCTTTTTAAAAATGTGTGTGTAAGGGTGCGTTCCTGGTTCGTGGCAGGGCCACTGTAGATGGCAGCCTGCCACGAACACATAAAACGCCAGGTTGGTGTCAGGAATTTTGGCGCGCAAATACAGGTGCGTGATTGGGCAATGTCCCAAAAATGTCATGTCAATTCCACCAAAATCGTGTCGCGCGCGACTCGGGCAAAATGTTGGTGGCATGCGGTTTTCCCGCATGCCACCAACAGTGCCTGCTACAGTGGCCCTGCCACGAACCAGGAACGCACCCTAAGTTTCTTTTTGGAACTCATGACTGGTTACCAGCAATGGCTGAACTTGGCCAGTGACTTCGTAGCATTTGTAGATGTCTTGGAGTTATTTTCATTTCTAACCAATTATGTTAATTTTGCTGTAGAAATGTCTTGGAGTTAGTGTATGTTCCGAAGCGCTCGTGTCAGCTGGTTCGGCCTACGTTATCGCGCCGAACCACTTTCGACTCGCCTCCGCACCTTACGTCACACTTCCGAGCCTCGTTGCCCCGAGGCCCTCGCCTAGCTAGAATCTGCCTATTTGACCCTCGTTTTCAGACATTGATGGACCATCGAGTGGTACTCTGTAGCTATCGGAACGGTGCATTTCAATTCGTTTGTGAATCACTTCATAACAAAGCACGTATGCCTAGGTTGCGTCGGGCAGCCATTTGGCCAAACATGGGCCGCTGGCCACGCTGGAGTCACGGGAGCCGCATTTAGAAAGTGAGGGGTAGGAGGCCAACAACGGGGCGTCAGATAGTGGCTCGATATCGATCGCGTCAAAGCGACAGACAGGGCGACGAGAGCGCGACGGATGGCGACGAAAAAGCGACAGACATGGCGACGAAATAGCGACCGACAGGGCGACGAAACAGCGACAGACAGACGAATGTAGACGACGAGAGCGAAGAGAACCAATTCGCGATGGCTTAGAGCCGCGACAGCAGATGCGCAAGGAACAGCTGCAATGGCGGCTGGGGCAAGCACGCGCGCGCAGGCGGGGCTCCCCGGCGGCGGAACCCGGTGGCGGCAGCATTGTCGCTGCGAGCAGCACAGGCCGGAGGGGCGGCGTCGGCGCACGGCGACAAGACGGTGACAGACAGAGCGACGGTAGGCGACGAGAGCGATAAAATCCGCGATGGCGGAGAGCCGCGACAGCAGAGGCGCGAGGAGCAGCAGCAATGGCGGATAAGGCCGCGCAGGCGGGGCTCCTGGCGGGGGCAACGGCAGAGGCAAGGGCGGCGACAGCGGCAGCGGCGGAAATAGCACCATCTCTGCGAGCAGCACAGGCGGGGGTGGCGGCGGCGACTCGAAAAGGCGACGGAAGCCCGCGCCAGTCGCGCTCCGCGTGGATATTCTCCTAACCGCCGCCACCCGCGCTGCGCTCTCACCTCTACCGCCGCCTCCTCGAGAGTCTGCGGAAGTAGGTTTGCGCGCCAGTGGGAGAAAGGGCGCAGATGGGGCCAGCAATGATGGGCGGCCGTACGGAGGGGGAGGGGAAGGCGCATGGAGGGGAGAGGGAAGATGTGGGCGTGTGTGGTTCGAGTTTGGCGGAAACGTTGCGCCGGGTGGGAGAAAACGGGGCAGGATGCAGAGCAAGATGGGGGAGAAGAGGCAGGCGGAGGGGTGGTTAAAGGGGGGAGAGAGGGAATGGGGGAGAGCGCGCGCCAGGGGCAAGAGCGCGGGCGCAAGGAAGGGCGCGAGAGGAGCCGCGAGTGGGGGAACCGAGGGGGAAGTGGAGGGGGCTGAGAGGGGGAACGGGTGCTAGTGAACTGGGCAACGTGGGAGAGCATGGGTGTGAGGCGGAGGAAGGAGAGGCAGACACGGAAGCAGAAGCGAGTGAAGCGCATCGGCCAGGCCGTGCTTACTGATCGGCCAGGCCGTGCTTACTGATCGGTGGGGTGGGTGGGGCACACAGGCTGCTGAGGAACGAGCATGAGAGAAGGGGGGGGAGAGAAGGGGGGAGTTGAGACTTCTCAAACATGCCTGTGCGGCTCATTGCAAATGGTGTAGCGAACGAAGCTGGAGAGGTTTTTCAGACACGGACCTACGAGCGAGTATTGAATCTGACTGCGGATTGAAGCCGTAGGAACTGCGTATCGTTCGAGCGGGGGCAGAGGATGGGCCTTATGCTTAAGAAGGGGCTGCTGATGGGGCTGGCTGGGGCAGCAGAGGATGCTTATGCTTGGAGGGTTTTTTAGAGGATCTGCGATTACCCTGCCTAACCTTACAATTCCCAACTATTCACCAGTCCTTTCTGACCTCCTTTCCGGCCTCAGCTTCCTGTTCTCTCCCATTCACTCCTTCCAACCTGTTCATTCCCATCCATTCCCCAACAACTCTTTCCTCCCACGCCACGCCTGCCCTCGTTTATGGCTCTTGATCTGATCTGATCTGATCTGATCTGATCTCTTCTGCTTCGGTTTTATACCCACACCCACTCAAACAGGCAAACTGCTTGCAAGGCCACCATTTCGTACCCTTAGCTTACCCCCTCCTTTACCCTTACCCCCCCCCCTTCATTAACCCCTCCGCTTACCCCTTTTTCACTCAACTCGCCCCCTCCCTGTACCCCTTTCCCCTTTCTCCTCCCTTTACCCCTCCCACTCCCGTTATCCACTCCCCCTTCCACCACCCCCTCCTCCCCCTTTCGTTGCTTCCTTCCTTTTCTCCTTTGCTTTCACCCTCCCTCTCCCCTTACCCCATTCCCCTTCGCTCTCCTTCCCTGTATCCTACCCCTTCCCGTCCCTTTACTCTCTCCCACTCCGCTTACCCCCGTACCATTCCTCCCTCCTCCTTCCGCCCTCCTTCCGCCCCCAGCTCTGCACCTGTTTCTCCTAGCGAACTTCTGGCCTGCTGTTTTCACTCCCCATACTTCACTCAGATCTCACAGCACTGTTTCACACCTTGGGTACTTCCTTCCTTATCCCCACCTTCCCCCCCCACCCACCCTACCCATCCCCTACCCCCTCCCCCTTTCCCCCTTTTCCAGCTCCGCACCTGCCAACAGCGCTGCCAAGTGGGACAGCCTTACAGGCCCACCATGCCTTCGTGTGTCAAGGCACTGCCGTAAGTACGTGGTACGTGATTAGTGAGCTCCTGATATTGTATTGTACCGTGCTCTCACCAACCGGTTCTGAAACCGAGAAACAAACTTGACTTCGAGGGAAGAACTGGTTACATCTGAGTCACTTGTGAGAATTGTCGAAAGCGTCTCATACACCCTCACTTGACGCTCGCCTGCCCGAACCCTCATGCGATCCTTCACATCCTTGCGCTGCTCCCTTTGCCCCTCTGCCCCTCCTTTCCCCTCTCTCCTCCCCAGGTGTGCACCGTGCAGCCAGTAAACTTCCCCTCCCCACCAGATCTGCACCACACCTGCTTCTCCTGCACCCATGTCTGACCGCACTGTTCATGGGGGACACTGCGACTGCTGCGGATGTGCACTGGTTTTGGTCCATTATTCCCTCTCTACCCCCCTGAGTGCACTGTTTACGGAAACTTGTGGGCTGCTGATTGCATTCCTAGCCAAGCTTGCAGCAACGCACCTTCCCTTCACTCCAATGGAGTTGCTCGAGAGCGTGCTGACAGAGACGGAGCGGGGGAGAGAGCTGTGGCAGGAGGGGCAGGTGGAGGGGGAGAGTTGGTTCATGGGTGGTGGGGAGTGCGGGAAGAAAGAAGCAGGTGGATGCTCAAGAGGGGCCGGTGTGAACTGCGCTGGCATTCCCCTCACCCACACATCCACGAGACGCACAGGCTGCTCAGGAGCGTTCTGGCGCAGGCATTTCTGGCTGAAAGGGGAGGCTGCAAGGGGGAAAAGCTGAAGGGGATGCGGGGAGGGGGAAAAGGCTGAGGGGCAGGCGGAGAGGAGAAAAAAGCTGGGAGGCGGAGAGGGGAAAAGGCTAAGGGGGAGGCAGAGTGGGGGAAAAGGCAGAGGGGGAGGCGGAGTGAGGGAAAATTGTTATGGGGAGGCGGAGTGGGGCAGCTGTGGAAGGAGGGGCAGGCGGAGTGTGCTTGTATTTACCAGACTCGCACCTCATGCCTCCCACCTCATGCCTCTCACCTCATGCCTCTCACCTCATGCCTCTCACCTCATGCCTCTCACCTCATGCCTCTCACCTCATGCCTCTCACCTCATGCCTCTCACCTCATGCCTCTCACCTCATGCCTCTCACCTCATGCCTCTCACCTCATGCCTCTCACATCATGCCTCTCACCTCATGCCTCTCACCTCATGCATGGAGATGATGCAGACAGGTATGTACATGCTGTGGAGCAAAGAAGGAGCAAGGCGCAACGGACCAGGCGCAACGGGGGGGGAGGGAGAGAGAGGAAAATCAGACAAGAACTCTGCACCCTACCACACGCATGCGCCCACTCCCATCCCTTCAGTCAAGGCCCAGCCGCCCTCCCCTCGGTTTGAAGCAAACACCCACCCTGGATCATACGGTGTGGATCTTGAGAATGTTCAGAAATCACTTGGAACGGGGGTTGTGGGCGGGGCTGGAGGCCCACCTTGATGTTGGGATGTAAGCATCAGTCCTAGATGGTACTGCTGTGCAAGAACTCACTCCTATTGCTGCCACGCTCCCACCACCATCTCACTCCCACCGTTGTCTCTAATATGCAGGAAAAGCATCTTGGTGCAGCAGAAGGTCGAGGCAGCCATTGCAAGCTGCAGCCAAGACTTGCTGTGGCGCGACAGCAGGTTAAATGTGGAGTCATGCGGGAGATTATTACTAAGAACCGCATTTGGTCGGTTTGGGTTGTGTTGTGTTGTGTGGCCCCTGGTTAATAAGATGTTACAAAAGGATTTCCAAGTTAAGTGGTTTTACAAGCACTAACTTAGCAAGTGGCTTGTAGCATTTGTGGAGAAGTCGATCGAAGGTATCTACCGTAAAAGTTTTAATTGCCTGTATATTTCGTTGAGTCTGTTTAGAGAATTGTAGTTTATTTCTGTAGACCTGCTTTAGCTTGTATGTTGCGAGAAGTTCGCATCAGCTGGTTTGGTATTGTAAGGAAAATGTCAAATGTTGTAGCCTGTAGTGAGGTTTGTCTTAGGGGGTACAGAAGTTAGGGTTTGTTATATGTACCCCAACCAACATCAATGGAACATTTCATTCCTCATTCTGACATGGTATCAGCTAGGTTAGGATCCTGTGGGATCCCGTTCCTCCGTTCTCCGTTCGTACCTCCCGAGCCTGATCCTACCTCTCCTTCGTACCAGTTTCGTTGTTACCGCGCCTAGTACCGAGCCTAGCGCCATCTCCCCCGTCGCGTCACGCCCGTTCCCCCCCGTCGCGTCGCGCCCGTTCCCCCCGTCGCGTCGCGCCCGTTCCCCCCGTCGCGTCGCGCCCGTTCCCCCCGTCACGTCGCGCCCGTTCCCCCCCGTCGCGTCGCGCCCGTTCCCCCTGTCGCGTCGCGCCCGCCTGTTACCCCCCCCGTCCCGTCGCCCTGTCCCGTCGCGTCGCCCTACCCCGTCGCGTCGCCCTGCCCTGTCCCGTCGCCCTGCTCCGTCGCGCCGCCCTGCCCCGTCGCGTCGCCCTGTCCCGTCGCGTCGCCCTGCCCCGTCGCGTCGCTCCCGCCCTTTCCCCCGTCGCGTCGCCCTCCCTAGGCCCTGGCCCGTCGCCCTCCCTAGGCCCTGGCCCGTCGCCCTCCCTAGGCCCAGGCCTGTCGCCCTCCCTAGGCCCTGGCCCGTCGCCCTCCCTAGGCCCTGGCCCGTCGCCCTCCCTAGGCTCTGGCCCGTCGCCCTACCCTAGGCCCTGGCCCGTTGCCCTACCCTACGTCTTGGCCCGTCGCCCTAGCCCGCTCTTCCGCTGCGACTGAGTCCTCTTCCCCCCCGGTTGTTACTCGCCTGTTCGTTCGCGTTGGTTCTCACTATGGCGACTCCGCGAGTTCTTCGTTTCGACGCCGACGGTAGACCCCTTGACTTTTCCATCTGGCTTCTTCGCGCTCGTCGTCTGTTAGAGAGTCAGGTCCAGGGGGGCGGGACCCTCTGGTCACACGCTACTGGTGACCTCCCCGAGCCCCCCGAGCCTACAGCTTTAGGCCCTGCTCCTGACGACGCTGCTACGGCTCGCTTTGCCCGTCAGCGTGCTGACCGGACGGCTTGGACGTCGCGTGACGCTGCGGCCTGCATCGCACTCAGCAGCCTCCTCCCTGAGTCCGAGGAGGTCCACTTTACTCAGGTTCGCACCGCTGCTGCGTACCTCACTGCGATTAAGGCCCGCTACTCTACTCCCGCTACTGTCTCTCTCGGCCGTCTTTTCCTCCCGTTCCTGTTTCCTGATCTTGCCTCGTTTGAGCGCTCTGCTGACTTGATCGCTCACCTCCGCTCGCTCGACGCTAGTTACCGCGCTGCTTGCACTGAGGCACAGCTTGCACTGCTTCCTCCCCCCATGGCGATTACTGTCTATTTCATCGCCACTAGCCTCCCTGACCGCCTTGCCTCCGTTCGTGACGCGCTTCTGCTGAAGCACCCTAGTGAGCTGACTATCGAGGTCCTTGAGTCTGCACTCAAGGACGTCGAGAGCAACCTTCGTTCGGTAGCTGCCGCCTCTGGTACTGTGTCCCCCCCACTCTTCCACGGGTGCACAGCCCCGCAGTTACCCACCTTCACTGCCTCTCTTGCCACTGCCGCCACTGACGCGACTGCGGCTGCTGTTACGGCTGCGTCGCGGTCCCGCGGCAGGGGGGGCAAGAAAGGTGGTTCCGGTGGAGGTGGAGGCGGAGGTAGCGGAGGTAGTGGGGGTGCTGTTGCCACTGGCGGTGGTGGGAGTGCAGCGTCTGGAGAGACCCCTCGTGCAGCGGCTGGTGACTCCACTGCACCTGCTGGTGGCGGCGACCCTCGAGCTCGTCAGTCGCCTCCTGTACTGCCGGCCCCGCTAGGTGGAGCAGCGGCGTGGTACCAGGCTCAGCGTCAGCAGCACCTTCAGCAGCAGCAGCAGCCCCTTTCCTCCCAGCAGCCTCAGCAGCAGCAGCGTCAGCAGCTGGCTCCGGGGTCGGGGCTGCGTCAGCCCCAGCGCGGTGCTGCTTACCCTCCCTGCCCCTACCAGGTTCAGTCAGGTCCTCGTCGGGGCCACCCTTGTGGCCGCTTTCACCCCCCTGGTCAGTGCTTTGCTCAGCTCACTGACACGGTCCGGTTGACCTACGGGGTTGGCGGTCCTGCTCCTGACTGGCTTCCTCTGGTTCAGCGCTACGGCTCCGCTCTGTGGGGCATGTCTGCTGAGCAGTTAGTTGATCTGATTAGTGCTCCTCATGCTATGTATGCTGTTGTTGACTCTAGTGTTTCTGACTCTGTTTACTCTGGTGTTGTTAGCTTAGGTGCTAGTCTTGCTCAGTTGCCTGTTGCTAGTGTAGGTACTTGTGTAGACTCTAGACCAGCGACTACCTTAGAGGACGCTTCGCTGTCATTCACACTGGACTCTGGAGCCTCCCACTGCTTCTTTCGGGACAGCACGACACTTACACCACTTCCTGCGCCTGTTTCTGTAGCGTTGGCTGATCCCACTACGGGACCAGTCACTGCACGTCACACTACCACTTTACCGTGTCCTGCTGCTCCCTCCGGGTCTCTCACTGGGTTTCACGTCCCCTCGTTCTCCCGGAACTTGGTGGGCGTGCGACCCCTCGTGAGTCAGCACGTGGGTGTGTGGTTTGAGCCTTCTGGAGAGACTGCGGTGTGTGTTGACGGAGACTCTTACCAGCCTCTTGCTACCTTTACTGCTGAGCCGGGCTCGGGTCTCTACACTCTTCACACTGGCCCGCGTGCGCCGCAGCAGCAGCCGCAGCAGCAGCAGCAGCCGCAGCCGCAGCAGCAGCAGCAGCAGCAGCAGCAGCACCAGCAGCAGCAGCAGCAGCAGTACCAGCGGCCGCACCAGCAGCCCCCCCTACTGCCACTGCCCCCGGTTCCCCCCCCCGTTCGGGTCCCCGCGTCTCACCAGGTTGCTACGTCCCCCCAGGTGTCTGTGTCGTGTCAGGTTCCTACGTCTGTTCCAGTCGCTGCGTCGTGCTCCTGCCGGTCGCTTGCCCACCCCACCGTTCTGTGGCACCACCAGATGGGGCACCCGTCCCTTCCACGTCTGCGTGCTATGTCTAGTCAGCGTCTTGTCCTAGGCCTCCCACGTGTCTTGCCGTCGCTGCCGCCTTCGCCTGCGCCGCCGTGTCGTTCCTGCGTCGAGGGTAGGCTGCGCGCCACCCCTCACTCCTCCTCCCTTCGTCCGGCCACCGAGCCTTTTGAGACGCTTCACTTGGACGTCTGGGGCCCAGCCCCTCGTCTAGGCCCTGAGCGTGAGCGTTACTTTCTGGTGGTCGTTGACGACTTCTCCCGCTACACCACAGTGTTCCCTCTGGCGAAGAAGTCTGAGGTGACTTCTACGCTGATCAGGTGGTTGCTCACCACTGAGGACACTCGTGGTCGTCGTGTCAGCTGTCTCCACTCCGACCGTGGGGGCGAGTTTCGCTCCGGCATTCTCGCTGGATTCTGTCGCGAGCAGGGCATTCGTCAGTCCTGGACGCTTCCAGAGTCCCCACAGCAGAATGGGGTTGCTGAGCGCCGCATAGGCCTGGTCATGGAGATCGCCCGCACCTCCCTGACTCACGCCTGTGCCCCCCATTTTCTGTGGCCCTACGCGGTCAGGTACGCCGCGCACCAGCTGAACCTCTGGCCACGTGTCTCTCGACCAGAGGTTTCACCGACCAGTCTTTGGACAGGGTCCCCTGGTGTTGCGTCGCGGTTTCGTGTCTGGGGGTGCTTGGCTCTTGTCCGCGACACCTCCGCGGACAAGCTCTCGCCTCGTGCCGTCCCCTGTGTCTTCCTTGGTTTCCCTGAGGACTCCTCTGACTTCACCTTTTACCACCCTCCCTCTCACCGGTTCTTTGACTCCCGTGACGTCCGTTTCGAGGAGTCCACTCCGTACTACGTCAGGTACCCCAGTCGAGGTCTCCCGGTTCCTCCTCCCCCCCTCTTCCTGACTGCCGTTCCCCCTCCTGCTCCCCCGGTACAGCCTCCCCCCCCTGGTCCAGCCCCGTCAGGTGTGTCCCAGGCTACCCCTCCTCCTTCGGTTGCCCCTCCGGTACAGCCTCCCTCCCCACAGTCCTCCTCGCAGCGTGCCGCTGGTGCTAGCTCTCGAGAGGTTGGTGCGGCGCCTGTTCCTGTACCGGTTTCTGGTTCTGGGGGTGCTGGAGTTGGAGCTGGAGTTGGCACTGGAGTTTCTGGTTCTGGGGGTGCTGGAGTTGGAG